ATTGCTGCCCGAAACACTGTTGTAATATGTGCTGATTAGGTATATGGCGAATTTTGGGGTACCAAACCCTTCTCCTCTGTTTTTATTTACTTGTTGAATTGCATTCTCTCTCTTGAATGTCTAACTTGCATTTTCTCTCTTGCTAAATTGCATTCTCTCTAGTGGTTATCCTAAAAAGTCAGACATTCAAGAGAGAGAATGTAGTTCAGCAAGTAAATAAAGACAGAGAAGGAGAAGAGTTTGGTACCCTAAAATTCACAATATACCCGATCGACACATATTACAATAGTGTTTAGGGCAGCAATGGGATAGGATAAACATATCATCCGCGACAAATGTCTCATAATAAAAGTACCTATAGCCGACGACCAAGTAGTCAGCGAATCCTGTCAGAATGGACCGTTCTGTATCTCATGCTTGGACTTCCCTCCGTCTTAGGCCTAAAAACATGTCCTTTTCCGACATTAGAATTGTATCCGTGAAAGGCAAGTATACTACAAGTCTATATTGTCTTTCACACCTCTTTAATTGCATTAAGAAACGGTGAGTTAAAATTGAAACAATGAAAAATTAGAGAGGAGATAGTTTAAAAGGCTCACATCCAAAATGTGTAGACAACAGCGATGATCAACGAGCAACACCTTCTCCGTTGAAGGGATCATGAGTCTTATATCTTCAAAGGGTAATTCATAGGTGAATTCTGCCAGTTCATCCCCATTATCACCCGAGACTATGTTACATGTAGAAAGATTGGTGTTGAATTGAGATATTTTAACAAGAGCCCCAGAACTGACATAGAGCACAAAAGTAAAGAAAATTCTAAACCTTAGATTTGTACAAACATTAAAAACATTTTTGACAATGTAGGTTTATTTACCAGATGTTCAGGTTTGAATCCAATGCTGCAGGTGTCTAACACACATATATGTATATGACTTCAAATCAAAGACTTTAACAATACTGCAAGAACTAAGAACATTAGAATTACTTGATTGCAGAAAAATGTTACATAAGTAAATTGAATATCACAGATTGCTTGCACCTCTGGTTCTGATAATATAACTGCTTTGTTGCTGGCAACTTCAAAGAACACGTAGAGAATATTGGATCTGTATTGAGGAGAACACTTCAAATCTTTCCTGATGAGAGTTTCTTCTTATGTGTCTGATACAAAGACACGACTAGGGATCATTTACTCACTAAAATGTAGAAATTGAGTAAAGAAAAATAGAATGTACGGTCAAGGTTCCACCTTTGTGATGCAGCTTCAAGGAGAATATTTACTGATTTTATACTAGTTATACAATGTATAAAACTGTGGTATCATGTCACGAACATCTTTTATATGTAGTACAAACTATGTGGATTTACACAATACACAAGTGAATTTATGTTGTAAGTGGTTTAAACCTTTGTTGAGCACAATGTACAACATAGTCCCTTTTTTAGATTAAAATACACAAAAGTTCATATGAAGAGCATCTTGATTGAACAGTGAAACCAAAACTCTGATTCCACCTTGTATGACTATATACTCATAATGTAAAGAATATATACATATACATCTAATCACATCGGCAGGTGTGTCTCACCACTCTATATTTTAGTTGTGCTTATTTAGAAAATGAGTTGTCACCAAATAACCAAATATTGTGTGTTTGTCAACTTAATAGCTATAAAATACATTTGACTTAAGCATCAAAAGTCTTTACTCCAGCTTGTATGTAGAGTATGATTATAGATTGTAAATGTGAAACAAATACATATTAAATATCAATTATCAAGTGTGGGACTTATGCAAATGCCAACTTCATTGACATAAAAATACTTTTGGGCCACCATTTATTTGAACTCAAAGAAGTGGACATTCGGTTTTGTAAACAACATTTCCCTACCCTACATGGGCCACCATTTATTTGAACTCAAAGAAGTGGACATTCGGTTTTGTAAACAACATTTCCCTACCCTACATTCACATTTCATACAAGGCAAGAAAAGAAGTGGACATTCGGTTTTGTAAACAACATTTCCCTACCCTACATTCACATTTCATACAAGGCAAGAGTGATGTAATAATCTATTAACATTTCAAGAAATTACTAGTTATTCTGTGCTAGTGCTAGAATGTTATAGCATGTATGTTATTCCAACCAGCAATTATTATATTCATATGCCTTCCCCCATTTTTGAATCAACAGCTCATTAAAAATAATCCATACTATAAAATGAACAAAAAGCCATTTTAAAGAAACTTTGTTAACAAAATCACACCAAACAAAAAAGTAAAATATGTTACATTATCTACATAATGTGGAGTTAAATGTATAATATTATTTCCTCGTAAACAAAACACAATAGATAATTAAAGAGAATTAGAAATTCCAAATTGTGTAAATATGTCTTACATCATCGGCAAGGACCAACATCTTGTGTTGGTAGTATACTCTGCTACAACAAGCAATGATTCGCCGTTAATGTTGTAGAATATTTTTCGAATCTTCTCGTCTTGGGAATTATTAAGGAAACAGAACCTAGATTTTGTAACTGTTAACACAATAGAGATGCATATCATAAGCTCATGCTGAGATAAACAGATGTGAACATATAAACATATAAATGAGTTACATGTATCAAAAGTTGCACAATAACCATGACCTGAGATAGCAAAAACGATGCTCTTCACCACTAGGAGTTTGGAAACAGAATCCTCCACATGATCATTGCCCTCAATCACTCCAGCAAAGGGTTTAATTTCATCCTAAGTACAAATGAGAAATGTATAAAGAGATAATACAAGGCATCTTTGCAAGCGACCCAACATTTAAAGGGGAAGAAACAACAACAAAATCCAATACTAAGGCATTCTTGATATCATTTTAGGAGGGGGAAATAATACCTAATAGAAATATATTTGTCGATGTTTAACAGGAGCAAATTTGCATTCCGTTTTCTAATATCAGTACATTTTTGCATTTTTATTCATATTAAATTGTTACATTACATGTCCAGTTTTTAAAAGATGTTCCTTATGTCATAGGTTTCTGAAAATTCACTTTAATCCTTGGCCTGTTACATGGAAAAAAAATTTAGTTTATTGAATTTTCAAGAATCCTATTGTAAGAGAATATTGAACGGGGGAAGCAAAAGAAACATCAGTAAATTAAGTTATTCACTCAGATGGAAGAATTTCCACTTTCTTGATTTTTCAAGCGATAAATAATGCACATTTAAAGAAAGAAGAAAACCTATTATGAAGTATGATCCAGAACATTTGAAAGTCCTAACCTGCAATCTTATGTCATTGAACCTGAAAGACAACCTAAAAAGTCTGTGGCCAATCTCTCGAGACTTCAGTAAGTCACTAATGTTATTAGATTTATTCATTTTTTTTCTTTTTTTTCTTGAGGAGTAAGGAGATGATAAACTGATGGGAGGGAGAAAAGGAGGGAGAAGGACTATGCTACACTAAAAGGCATGCTTTACTAGTTTTTGAGTCTTGTGACATGATGATTATGATATAGTCTTTTCGTTGGTACTTGAAAGAAGAAAAATGTTACCATGCTACTTCTCTCATGGTTTACATATTAGGGAAACATTATTAGATTATCAGATAAGGACTATGCCAAAAGTCTTCTCTGTAAGTGATGAGCTATCAGAAATCATAATCCAGAATACAAGCTACACTTTCACCCACAGGTCAGAATCTATAGACAAACTACACTCAGAAATCATAATCCAGAATACAAGCTACACTTTCACCCACAGGTCAGAATCTATAGACAAACTACACTAGAAAAGGCAGAATGTTTTGAGATGCAATTGTTGGGTCTAGATGTTGTTCTTTAAGAGAAAGTTTAACAATGGATGATAAACATTTGATATTCTATTAAGTACCAGATGATGGTTAATATAGCCTTTGACAAGTTTGAGTTCAAACTGGGTTATAATGTATTAACCATTTTGAGTTTCGACCTTAGCAACCATTTTGTGATAGATTCTAGTATGAATTGGCTCATGTGGGTTGGTCAATTTCAAATTGACCTGCATCTATGAACCCGCTTGATTGCCATCTTTGGATCCAATCTTCAGACCCAGAGAAAGAGACTGCGAATTTTTCACTGAAATGCACATGTTGAAAAATAAACTAAATGTGGTTCCTTGCTCTAGTCATCCTAACACCATAAACTAGACTCTTGTTGCTGTGAAGAGAGAAAGGAAGACACCAGAAGAAAATGATGACATCCGTGTAGACACAGAGGCATCAGAAAATTCAAAACTCACAAAAAAGAACAATAATAAAAGCTCTCTTTTTTATAAGTTGTAGTTCTCCCTAAATTATAAAGTTACTTTTGCCTTCTTTTAAGTTAATCTATATGACAAAAACCCTCAATACTTGACAAGGTTACCAAAAGCGCTAGTCGGACCCGACGCCTAGAGCCTAAGCACCTAGGCGGGAGCTTAAGCAGGGCCTAGGTGGTTTTCCTATTTTTTGTTTTTTAATTACAATTGATAGTAAATGTCAATATGTAGAAAGTTTGAACGCTGGACTGACACCTAAGTAGATTTCATTCTTCGTTTAAGTAGCGGTGGAGGATCTGAAGGTTGGAGGAGATAGAGGTGTTCATAGTTGGATGGAGGAGTGTGGAGGAGGTTGGAAGACATGGAGGCTGCAACGAAGAAAATCATGACTAAGGCCGAAAGGGTTCAAGTCCACGTTGGCAGGCAACACTCTCCTAGGCTCTTTGAAAACCTAGGTGTGCAACCTAGGTACCACCAAGACACTAGGCAGGTGGCCCAGGTACCGCCTAGGCCTAGGTTTATGATCAGGTTGGCTAGGTGGAGGCTTTTTAAAACATTGAGATATAGTTTTAACTCGTTAAATGTAAAGTCAATCCAACTTGTTACTGGAGAAATCAGCAATTTGCACTTGTGATCACTTCTCATTTTTTTTTCAGGAAGATATCTACAGCCAACCTTTATAGAATTTATTTCACGCATGGAAAACTTGATTTATAGTAATAAGCTGCAATTTTATTGTCATATTTAACTATAACCGCGTGTTTCATGGTTATTGATTAGAGCTGGTAAAAGCCAACCACTGGAGATTTTAACTGCATGAGCTTGCACGTACTGTGACCAATAACTCTCTACTCAACATCAACCCCTCATCTGGTGAGGCTAGAATGCCTCCCACAAACATACAATATCCTATGGCAGGTAGACTTTCTATGCGAAACTGAACATACCAGATAAAAGAAATGGTGATCTAATAATTTGAACTATTCACCACAAATTTATACAACAAGTCACAATGGAGTATTGTTTTTTGAATATTGGTTTTTCTATAATTTATGAATGAAAGCCTGTTGAAATACCTATTGTGTGCAATGTAGGAAATTGCCACATTTGTCCTTAATATGGCAAAATCTTCACATTTGCACAAACAGGAGCATCACATGTTTATGATGCAACCAGCTTATCTCATTATTGAGAGCCATGACTTACTGGCATGGGACAGAACTAAGACGTTGATAAATGTATGAGAACAAAAAGCAACCAAGTGTACAACATGCAACTAAGAATCCAGCAAACTAAGAAGCTTAAATCTTTATGCATGAAGTCTTAAAGTCCCTTACCACTTCATCAAACCTTTGAAGTTGTAGTGAGGGTTGAAGGTTATAATTTTATACTCTAACATGCCCCCTGCCATTGAACTTGCTGAAAGCATCTGGTGTGCGGACTTATTCCATAGCTAGTTTTCTTGATTTGTTCTTTATGAATTGTTGTATGAAGTGGTTATCATGTTAGCATTATCCTTATCTCTTATGATTTCATAATGTAACTGATTCTACTACATAAACAGAGCCAGAAGTTTTTTTTCCCACTCGTTTGGGTGTGGCCACATGAACTGAATAATTAGCTTGTATTAAGGTTCATCTCTGGGTAATGGAGATGTCTGGAATTGAATATATGTTCACTTGATACTTCATACAGTTACTTCAAATATTCAATAGTCAACAACTTTCAGCTTATTATTTCTGTTTCCCTCCTATGTAATCATCCTGCGGATGCCATTTCTGAAATATTACTGGAGTTGATGGATAATTGCAGTGAAGCTTTTTTTTTTAAATATATAGTAGCCAAGATCCCCAAAATTAGCAGTACTTCCTGCTGTAATTAGAATCTGTTAAGTGATTTATGGTTTCAGAGCTAATATTTTTCTCAGTTCTTACAGGTAATAAATTATTAGTGTCTTGCTACATCTTACTGTCGGATGTCTTGCATCCATAGAGTTTATGTAGAATACATAAAGTTCTCTGCAACTTTCTTTCATGTCATTTAATGTTTCTCGACTAATTTCTAATTTTTACATTTTATGTTCAAGGTTTGTTGTAATGCTTGCGGCAAACCTGTGAAAGCCAGTCAGTTTGCAGCTCATGAAGGTTTCAGCTTTTACCAATTACCTCCTAATATTGTTGATATTTATGTTCATGGTAATTCGTTGTTGAACTGCCCCGTTGTTCCCGCCTCGGGCAGCGATTGTCTTATGCATCTTAATACATGCCACCCATTATGTTGATATGTGATTCTGAAAAATCATAGCTTTTCACCAAAACTACTTATTAACACGCAACCGTGCGCATCTTATCTTGAATGAATGTGGGCATATCAGTAGCTAGTAAGTTTGTAAAAGCAGCAGACTGTTACTGTCTGGCTACTAACCGCTAAATGTCATCTAGAACCAAATTGTCAAAAAACAGGAAAAAAAACATTAATACCAAGGTTCTGGGATTGGTTACATCTATCATTTTTTTCCATTCAACTACTATAAGTGTCATCTACTCGGTTAATAGCGTTGCAGAAGCAACGAGGGGCACTGTAGCAACCAGAAGAAGAGGAGAGGAGGAAGTTGAAGAGAAGTGATAGGCTTGGATTTCTAGCTGAATGTAAAGAAGAAGGTATCATGAATTAAAAAGTGAGAGAGAGAGAACCGATGAAATTACTGCCTGTAAACAGTAATTCTCCCCGGTCTTCACTGGATTCACCTTATTTGCTGGAGGTACTGGTTGTTGAAGATAGACACCTTGAGAAATGAGTTCAGATATGCTTTCATCCTCATCTTCTTTACTGCTAAGTGGAATCCCCTAGGTTCTTGGTGATCCTATTTATCTACAATTTCAAGAAGTATAAATGCTTATCCAATTGTGAGTAGAGTCAAGAGCTTCCAAGTGAATATGGACTAATTAATAATGTAGATCTAAATACCCACGAGAAGATATACTGATTGATACGATGAATTTGGTCTTTATCTTTGAATCTATCCTCCCTTGTTATGCTCCAATCTATTTTTGAATCTTTGAATTTGCTTTGAGGCTGATTTCCTTTCAATGTCCCATTGGGTTTGTTTTTCATATAGAATGTCTAATCCACACACCACATAACACTCAATGGAACATGCATATATTAGCTCGTTTGTTAATCTACAAAACTTAAGGTATTATTGGATAAAGCATTCTGGAGGTCAGCATACGCATCATTTCCATTAAATCAACTTTTGATTTTGCAGAGCGTTGCAAGTCAATTAGCTCTAAGGAGAATGCTGACCAGGAGCTTTATGGTGGTGCTGATCAAAAGAAACCTTCAAAGAAAGGGAGACAAAGAATTCAATTAACCAATGGTATTATACTTGTCTTCATTATTGTTTCATCTCTATGTGATGATCTCTTTATCAATTTTTTCTTCAACTAGTAAGATGACACTTGCATTGCACATGTTGTTCCCTCCTATTGTTGTACAAAGTCAAGTCGTAAATCGTACAATAGCAAGGTTTTAAATATCGGATGTCGGGTTCATGTCGGACGGCTAAAAATCATGTCGGATAGCGAAATCCGGGGATATGTCGGGAGACATGAAAAAAATATGGGATTGTCATATCGGATGTTGTGCGTATGTGTAATATAAATATCATAATAAAATTCTACTGTCTAAACGTATAAAAAAGCAAATAACTTATGATATTTAGGGTTGATGTTGAAGGAAAGATGTGAGAAAAAAGACTCCGATATTAGCAGTTAAGAAGAGAGAAGATCGCCCGATGTTAATGTCAAAGGAATAGCTCGGAGAAGAGACCGATGAGATGTCGAAAAAGAGAGAGAAGATGAGTGACGAATATTATTTCAATCTTTTTTTCCATTTCCCTTAACTATCGGTTTTTGTTTTTGAAAGTAATATTAAGACAATCAAGAATTTAAACCCAAAACTAATTAGATAAACATAACCAAAAAATAAAAAAAAAATTAGCTAATTTTTTAGACTAAAAAATCGACCGACATTTCACCCGACATATCCGTTCAACATATCTGACATGTCCCCTGATACATACATCTGACATAAACTCTGAAAATGCAATACGCATTGCGAAGCTCTATATCGTGTCGGTTGACCCTTAAATCCGACATGTCGGCCGGCATGTCGACATTTAAAACATTGTACAATAGTTTGATTGTGGTGACTGGTGAGTGCTTGGAGAATATATGCATCACTGCACAGTATCTAAAACAACCAGTAACACAAATTTTTGCCAAGAAAAACCCACATATCAAAAGTTGAGATGCATCATTACTATAGCAACAATATTTGTATTCAATAAATTTAGAAACTCACATATCAGACACCAACTAACCATCACTAAAATTCAGAAGTAATATACCAATGCAAAGAGTAAAGCTCAATAAATTTAGAAACTCACATATCAGACACCAACTAACCATCACTAAAATTCAGAAGTAATATACCAATGCAAAGAGTACTTGTCCACCAAACTTTGTATCTCTTCATTATGCTTTGAGATTTATGCTACACATCAATGCTATCTTTGAGATTTGTGCCTTCATTTATATTACATGTTAGCACAAATCTCAATGCAAAATCAATGAATAAAAAAGTTGGTGGACAAATGGCTCCTATCCACTTAAGCTTATAGGAGTTTTACTCCCATTGCAAACTCAATAAACTCTTTACATTTTCTCTTGTTCTTTTTTAATAAAAAATTAGTTTTGGGGGGCTGAAAATAAATTTGGTCTTTTAGGTAAGGTTAAGGGGAATTTAAAAAATTAGGTGGATTTTATGCTACCCCAAGGTTAGGATGGTTTACTGAAATAAAAAAGTCTAGGGGTTTAGTGCAACAACCCAAAAGGTCAGGGTTTTTTTTTAAATTAACCATATATTTAGTAGTCTGCTTGACATGTGTCTTCTTCGGGTCACTTGCATCCCCTCTCTACAAAATCCACATTGGACCTTAATCCGCAAAACTGTATTCCTGGATACTTATGTACAACTCCAATGTAATGAATAATTTGCAAGAAGATTAGTAGCTCGTATAACATAATTATATATAAAGCATGAAAATTTTAGCTACTTTCATATTATTTATCAAAAAGCTAGAAAACATAATCATATCATATCATACTCATTGGTCAATATTACCCTTGATCATTTTGGATATTACATTGTTATCATGTCCTAATTAATATGTTTAATTGAGTCATCGATCCACTTTGCTATAATATCATATTGTAATTGATTACCTTATCTTTAAATGTTGTTGTTCTAATTAATATTTTTAAATATTATTATCCTATCCTAATTGATTACCCCATCTTTAAATAGTTGCATAATTCTAACTAAACTATACTCTTCAAACTGCTCCTACACTACTACACAAATGTGTGGGGTCCTTCCAACTTTGATTGTCATCAATGTTGATGAGTCATCAAGGACCCCACAATGTTGGGTGTAGTAGTTGGGAGTAGTTTGTATATTATAGTCTAGTTATTACTACTCTAAATAGAGCATTGTGTATAGTCTAGTTATCACTACTCTAAATAGTTAACTTTTGAGCCCTTGGAAATCTAACTTCACCCAGTAAATAAATTTAAGAAAATGCACATTGAAACTAATGAGTTGTGTAGAAGAAAAAAAAGCTAAAGATGCTGATCTAGGATTTGAATAATATGTGATGTGAGAACACATGATGATAGGGTAATATGGATTAGGCTAGAGTTGGGATTTGTGGCAGAGCTAGGAATTCATAGTACTAGTGTCACTATATGTATATAAATTAGACATTATCAGCGATTATTAGAGATATATAAATTGACGCTATAGCTAATGTTTCTCATATTCAATATGTCAGGAACTTTAGTGAGATACAAGAGAAATATTTAACTAAGTACAATTACAATTAATTCTTGCGTGTCACCATGTTTTGAAATTGCTGCATAATTGACTCATTCGAAATACAACTAAATAGATCTTTTTTCCTTTTCAATGTAAATTATTAAGTACCTAACATTTAATAGGATTAAAGGTTTGGACGCTTTGGACCATTACGGGTTTGGGTTTGGGTTATCTAAATTATCAATGGGTCACTATCCATTATTTAATTTGATAATAGGTTCACTAATGAATCAAATGCTACGATGTACCTAAGGAGCTTTTGCTGGAGTTTTGAGGGTGGTGTTATGTGACACACCCTCTTTAAGGTACCTTCGCCCTTGGTTGAGATTACTAATGGTAGAAGAATGCAGGTAAAAGAGATAAAGAAGGCATAAACATGTTTTCAATTTTGTACAGCATTTTCTAAATTGGGCCAGAGTGAGGCTTTGAGTCATGAATTGTTTTCTATTTAGACTAGCATTGGCAATAATTTCAAAGGACAATATACAGTGGTTTGCTAATGTTTTTTATAAATCTCTAAAAGGAAGAACAATATGAGAAAATAATAAATGTGCACAATAAGGAAAGAGTTACATAAAAACATGATTTGATGAAGAAGTTGAAAAATGTCATGAAAGACAACCAATCACATGACTACTTGGACAAGAACAAAGCACGAATTTGATTCTCCAAGAAAATCTTGGTTATTGATGCAAATACAGATTTTATACCAATATCAAATTCCACAATATGATGTAGTTTTTAGGGATACATATGGTCAATGTTACAGAAAACGCTAGGCAAACTAAGCGTTTGAGCCGAGGGCCCGAGGCCTAGCGCCTAGGTGCCTAGGCGTTTGACTACTTTTTAAATTAATTGAAAAACATCCGAGGGCCCGAGGCCTAGCACCTAGGTGCCTAGGCGTTTGACTACTTTTTAAATTAATTGAAAAACATGAATTAAGTTCATGAGAAATTGCAACAACAACAATAATAATAAATGACAATTTTAGATCCATAATTAACCATGCATAAAAATAAATTGTTAGGTTTTTGAACAAAACAGTGACTTAAAACAAAATAACTAATTGCAAAAGTAACTAAAATTGAACAAAAATACTTAATAAAATAAAAAAGTGGAAAATTAACAAAAAGTTAAAAATGACCGTCAATAGAAGGAGAGGGGGACTCATCGGAGGTGGCTGGAGAGGGAGAGGTGAGGAGAGGAGGTCGCTAGGGTTTTTGAGCATTTCGAGAGGGAGAGGTGATGGGAGGAGCATCGGAGGGGTGATCGGAGGAGCACTGGTAGTGGGATCGGAGAGTGAGGGGCGCCAGAGTGCTAGGGAGAGATGTGGGGAGGAGCTTCCATAGGGTTTTTTTTAAGAAAGCGGAGGGCCATAGAGATAGTTGGGGGGGGTTGAGTTTCTAGAGGGGTGGGTTGAATTTAAGGATGCAGATTGAGACGGGTCGGGTCGGGTTTTAGACATTAGGGTTTTCCTCATTAAAGGCTAAGCGGGCCGCTTAGCTCTTAGGTGGTTCCACCGCCTTATTATTGGCTCGCTCCTGGCCAATTCTAGGTGCTGCGTGGGCCGCCTATGCCATGACGTCGCCTGTGGATGTTTTTTTAAAACCATGCATATGGTTGTAGAAACATCAAAAGTATATATTGTAAAGGTTATAGTAGGAGCAATGCAAGTAGGTAATCATACTCATGGTTAACATGTAGTAGAAGGTTATGCCATATAAAAGGCACCACATTCTATAGAAGCATTAAAGCAGGAGTTAAATCTAAAATTAGTACGATGAGCAATAAAATATCACCAATCATTTTCCATTTTTTGTGTTTTGACCATGATCATATCTGATAAACAGAAAGAATTAGCTTTACATTTTCTTTATTAAAAAAGGATTAAGAATGAAACAGTTAATAAATTATCAGAACAGAAAAAGCACATATTTCAAACATAAAAGAAAGAGGCTGGCTTATATTATTAAATTCCATGAATAGCCATGTATTATATGCGCTAAAAACAATATTGCCCAGCACCATTAAGAAATAAAAACTATTACAGCAGTCACCACAACAAGTATCAATTGTCTTGAGGACATCATTTCTTGAGCCCTTGTTTGTGGTGTGTGCGCGGTTTGAAAGTTTGATAGAAATTGATCATTGGTTAATGCTTATCAAAGATTTTGCAATATTTTTTGAAAGGTTATTAGAAGTCATTTCTGAATACTTAGAAGAAAGGGTTATGTTTATATTATATGATTATTATTCTAGTCATTATTTTTATAAATGAAAAACTTTATTCACTCACCAAATAGTTATCTTCATTTTGTTGATTCACGAATTTTGTTTCTCATATTTTTCGGACCATAAATGCAGTTTGAAAGATCGGTATTTCTCTTTTCTTTCTTTGTTCATTTGTTTATTATCAATTTTTTGGTATATCTGGTCATTATTTAGTTTATAATTGATTGATTTGCCTTAATATAATGGATACTACAATGTTGTAATATTAAATTCCCTGCATTGCATAGGGTAAAAGTAGTCAAATTAAAAACATAAATAATTACAAGGCAAAAATGTAGTGAAAGTATATCACCTTTGCAAATTTCGTGATCAAACAAATTCAACATGACCAAATCCTAAAAAACCATTTATTCGGATAACTAAATCAACTCCCATGACTTCTCTTGCTTCCTCAAAAAGTCTTTTGGAAGACAAATGACTAGATGAACCCAGTGTTTTTAAAGGCGCTGTGGGGCGCGCGCCTCGGGCGCGAGGCGCTGCGGCGCAGTAGCATAGCGCCCCGCAGCAGGTGCGGGGCGCTACGCTTGCGTCGGGCGCGCGCCTGAGGAGCGCCCCGCAGCGCCTGACGAAAGGCGAAAGGCGCACGCCTCATTTCCAGGACCGCAAGGGTTAGGGTTCGGGTACAAACCCGCTTCCCACATAGACCCGAAATCAAAAAGGGAATCAAAAAGGGAAATAAAAAGGGTTAGGGTTTCTGTACACTCACTTTTTCTCCCAAGCCCCGATATCCACTCTTGTAATCTCCTCTCGGCGGCAGCAACAAGCGACGACGACGACGATCAGCGACGGTGACGAGCAACGACGACGAAGGGAGATGGCGATCGCCGATCGGCAGCAACAAGCAGCGAACAGGTTTTTTCTCCTTTCTCTTTGTTTTTTTCTCCTTTCTCTTTGTTTTTTCTTTTATTTTCCAGTTTTTTTTCTCCTCAACGAGAAGGTTCTCCGTTCTTTTATCTTTTTTGCCACATCAGATTTTAACAGTAGCTGATTTTAACGTTATTTTATTTACTGTAGCTATTTTTACTGTAGCTGTTTTTACTGTAGTTGTTTTTTACTGTATTTGTTTTAACAGTAGTTCTTTCGTTTTTTAAGTTGTTCGTTCTTTTATTTTTTGAAGTTGTTTGAGCAGGTTGTTCTTTTATTTTCTACTGTAGCTATTTTAACAGTAAAAGAAACTTAACTGTAGATATTTTGTACTGTAGCTAATTTAAGTTTTTAGCACTTAACAGTAAAAATTATTATCTGATAGTGCATTTCAAGAGTGCTATAAGTTACTGTTGCTATCATTCTGTTAATGTAGCTATTATTTTGTTACTGTAGTGTAGGTATTTTAAAAGTTCTATAAGTTGACCCAATGATAGTGTATTTAGGTTGTAACTTATTGACTGTATTCTAAAATTTTAGTTATTTTAAGAGTTCTAAAATTTTTGTGGTCTGGAGTGCGCCTCGATTCGCTCGGGCGCGCGCATCGCATTGCGCCTTGCGCATGTGCGCGTAAACTGACTTTGCGCCCCGCATTGCGCCTCGCGCATTGAAAACACTGCAGACACTTAAGAGAAGTAGTTAGTGAAAGACGGGGTCAATTTCAAGAGTGGCATCGGTAGTAAATCCTAAGGAGAGGTTGTAATTCCGATCACTTGAGGAAGGTGACACGGACTAGGTCAACACTTAGAGAAGTGTATTGTGTGATTGCAATAGTGAGTTGTAAACGTTTATCGGCGAGCGTTAAAAACCGATTGGGTAGTATTTTTGTGATATAGTGGAGATTCTCCTCGAGGGTGAGGAGCGGAGACGTAGGTCGTGGGTCGACCGAACTCCGTGATCATTTGTTTGTGTTTGAGTTTGGCATTGACGCACTCTCTCTTGTATATTTTCATATTGTATTTTGTCTCACATATATATCGCCCTTTGTTTATTTTTATATTCTCATATATTACTTGTACACATCATATTGCTAGGCTATTATTAAGTAAGTTTTAATTTAGCATTAAAATCGAATTAGATTAGCAATTACCCTATTCACCCCCCCCCCCCCCCTCAGAGAAATCACAGAGTAATCCGCAGTCTTCTCGTAACAGAAAATAAAATAAAATAAAAGAAAGAAAATCGCCATAGATCCTAACCCAAAAATATAAAAAAATAGTTTTCTAAATCGTGTATAGAAAAAAATTTATATTGGTTTTTATTTGATTTATAAGCTTAGTTGTTTATTATATGTTTTCTAAATCATGTATAGGTACATTTTCCTTGTAGTTTTTTTATGATCCATACCTTGATTGCTAGTGTAAAGCTTATCTGTTAGTTTTCATAAAGCATACATTTGTAGTTAGCTTTAATTTCCACAAACTCCTATGTTTCCTGTAGGAAATCCGCAGGCGGCAGATGTCAACATTTCTGTAGATATGTCGGCAACTCAAGTGTTTGGTGATAGTGGTTAAGGAACTTACACAATCAGTCCTTAGTCCTTGGTTCAAATCCTAGTGCCTTCCTTTTTCTCAAAGTTTTCTTTTGGATCGGTTTTCAAACTAAAACCCGACCCGGTTAGGGTCCAATATCAAATACCAGACCTGTAGGTCTATAACTCAAATTTCAGACCCGTTCGGGCCACTGCTCACTAAAAACCAGTTTTGTAGATTTCTAGGCTATCAAATCAAATATGTTTGACACATTGTGACACTAAACAAGTATGTTAATTTTTTATTTTCCCCTCTTGTTATGATAAATGATGATATTGTTTGATCTCTTGATGCTTATTGGATTACCTAATGCTATGTTCGATCATCTAATGACATTTATTAGGACCAACTGTGTATGAAGACGACTTTCGTCAAAAAAAAATATGGTTCATAAGCGTGCTATGATGGCATGGCTATACCCTCGATGCCGATATCCCGGTGTGAGGTACCCTTGACTATTATTATTATTATTATTATTATAGTGTTGATTAGAGACACCTACCTTGAGTGGACATGTTCTGGGTCTCGGTTATTTTTTATTTTTTTACGAAAGCCGTTCCACGGTAATATTGTAATTAGTGCACAACATTTCATGCACAGTCACTTAAATTAAACAGATAAAGATGAGATTTAATAAAAGAGAATTGGGCGGCGAATATAAAGTGTATATAAGCGGGCTCATGCGCATTCCTGATATTCCGAGTTATATATACAAGGGCCAAGGGCCAATACTTGACTTGAAGCCGTGTTCCCATGACGGTTAACGAGAACCCGATTTATATACGTGAAAACATTCTCCTCTAATTCAAATAACATCTAAAATAATAATGTGCTTGTGTCTTGTGATAGATTTTATCTTGATATCTACAATCAACATTTTTCATTTATTACCTTTAATTGAGATTTTATCTTTTCTTTATACCTGCCACGTACACTTACACGAGCACAATTCCTTCATTTTACATGCTTGTTGGGAGTTTTCTGACTCCTCTGGGGTTTGTGCACCCCAGACTCGGGGGCTGCTCTTTCTTCGTAGGATCGAAAGAATTTTGAGGAACATGCTTAGCAGCAGTGATCACCGTTTATCCTATATGTTCCTCCGTTTCATTTGGTTTAGGTAGTTATTTGATTTAGACTTTTCCTTGAGCCAAATGTGGCCTTCTAGACTATGATGTTAATTTTCTTACTCTTTTCCTCTTTGGATAGTTGTGGTCTTGTAGTTGAACTCTGTTTTTCGGTTTTTTTATACATTTCTTGTGTTGTCGTAGTTACATGCTCTGTGGTGTAGTTGTTGCTATATATATATGTATACAAGATGACCTAGAGGCGTGAACGTGGCCAAATGGTTGCATTGTCGGCCGAGTCACGTTCCAATTATTACCCTTTGGAACCGAGGCGTGACAATTTTACATTGTCTTTTAAAGTGATTAGCATGTCATATTCTGGATCCTCCAGCTCCAATAGTACAGTTGACCCAAATCTTTTGACACTTGAATCATGTCTCTTCAGATTTGAACTCGCTCGAGATGAAAAGCTACATCTGTGGTGTACCATGTACCCAGTGCGAATACATAGGGTAGAACATACACATACAAGTTTTAACACACAGCGAATAGAAGACAAGATAATAAACTGCCCTTGTAAGAAGACAACAGGTAAAATAAACCTTTCCCGAAACAAGTTCCAGAATTTCAACCTTCTTGATCACATGATTCATGCTAAAAGCATGGCCTATGGTTTATTGGGTCTTTGACATAGATACTTGTGTTGCTTTTGACATGGTTCACAGCTTATTTAGGCCAACAACGTGGTGCCTTGTTCTGACAAAGGCACCAAGAGGAAATTAGTGTATGTAGTTGCTAAGAGTGACTTGGTTCCCACCATGATTGTGACTTCGATCAACATCTCCAGTTGTTTGTTTGGGTTTAATTGAGCATAAGTGAAGGTTAGTTGTGGTGTCTCCCATCCAGTTTCAAAGGATGATTTCATGACTTCGTAAAGTTAGGTTGATTTCACTGTGTAGGATGATAAAATTAGGTTGATTCCACTGTGTAGTGAATTATACAAATAGATTGTTAAGTTTGAATCCAAGAATCCGATAAGGATTTCCCTGGTGAATAACTGTGGGGTGAAAGCCTATTAGGTTGATTGTTTGGGTTAATTGAGGATAACTGAAGGTTTGATGACCTAATAGAAGGGTGAGAAAATTTAGGTCGATTCCACAGTGCAATGGATTATACAAATAGATGATTAAGTTCAGATCCAAGAATCCAGTAAGGATTTCCGTGGTGAATTAACTGCGGGGTAAAAGCCTATTAGCTAGTTATGTGGCATATAAACCTATTAGCAAGTCTATCTGGCTCATTTGTTTTTTGGGCATTGACTAGTCAAACCATGATAGATCTCCATACTTAGGCGATCTCACCAGAAATATATTTTGAGTCACCTTTAGTTCAGATCTATTAATACAAGATCCACTTTAAGATATCAAAACCATCACTTTATATCATAAAGCACAGCAACCATAACTAAAAGGTAAATGGGTATTTTAATGAATGCTTCATCTCAAACTGGGATCAAATAAGCTTCTCAATTTGATTCACAAAAGACTCTACGAGTTTAATAATTATCATCAAGAACTAAGATGAAGACAAAACCTGTTTTCAACAAGCCTCCACTTTTCAATATCCAATGCATCCATGCCAACATAAAGAAAGATGAAAATCTCCGCCATAAATGAGAATGTAGCAAAAACATGCCTGTAAAAAGTTAGCACAAAAAAGCACGTAAATAAGCTTTAATAATCACATATAGAGTCTCCCAACTGCTAGTAGCAGTTTGCAGCATGCTAGGGCATATAGGAAAAGGTACATACTTAGTGGTAACTCTGGAACTTTCTGTTATATTATGCCAAGTATAGTGTGACATAACTATTCCACAGAAGAATACTGTCAGGATACCGCTCAACTTTAATAACTGCAACATAAGTTATATGTTTCAGCATTTATATTAAAAACATCAAAAGTAGTTGGAATAGAGACGGGAGATCAAGCACACTTCAGCCAGCATATACGAAAGGTAAGCTAGGAGTGACATAAGGGCGACTTCACGATCAGTAGAATGCCTGGAATAAAAGGATTATCAGCCACATTCCTTTTAAGTCAAAATAACATGAATCATGATATTGTCGTTTCACATTTAAAATTAGGCGAAAGAAAGTAGCAGTAAAATAAAATCAAAGTCATTCCAGAAAATTTCATGTGATATTTGAAGTCTACAGACAACATCAGAAATCAGCATAAGCAAACCAGTCTATGGCAGCTAATATTTAGAAGCTCTGTTTTGTTTCACATCTCAAATCATAGAATGGGAAGGAAAATATTGCAGAAAGGCTTCAACTCTAATATGTTGCAGCAAAAACATATGAGTATGCAACAAAAAAAAGGGAAAGCTTCAGGCTACACAAACCTGCCAAAGTATAACTTTTTGATGACATAAGCACTAAGCAAACCAGCCTGCAGAAAAAGAAAGCAAACATTAGCTGGAAAAAAAAAGAAATGTCCCTCGTGTGAGAGCACACATGTTTGTGTTTGTATGTGTGTGTGCTTGTTGGTGGTGGAGGTGACGTTCGAGAAACTTACAAATGCTCCAAGGAAGGTGCTAGTGGCAAATAAATAAATGAAGTTTGCAACGAACTGCAGAGAATTAGCAAAGTCGATGTGAACGAGATCAAAGTTCTTGATTGCATTGAATAGTACCACCGATGTAGCGTCATTGACAACACCTTCACCAAACACCAAGCTATAAAGTAAAGGTGTCTCCTCCTGATTAAGCACCTATTTATCCAGTAATCAATTTCCATCAAAGTTAGAAGTCATCATATAATCGGCGAGTGTAACCCACATCTCAGAAGAAAATAAAACCTGCAAGGTGCAAACAGAATCTGTTGCAGAAAAGATTGCCCCTATCGCTGCAACATATTACTAAAAGACATGAATAAGTTTCCAAAGGATAGGAATAGAAACTGAGGAAAACTGAATTGGAAGAAGATTGACATGTAGAACAAGATTTTACCAAGATAATCTTTAATTTCCAAGGAACCTATACCCAGCTTACTGAATAATCCACGGGCACCTGATTACCAATATATTTGTGAACACATATGGGCATACATATATAAATTGTATAAGTATACGATGCATAAGGCATGAAAGTGCATAGATGCATACATAAAACAACATAGATGTATAAGTTTCTAGTTTGCTAAAAGCCCACAATATAGAAATCCATCACTGGAAAGTAAATTCTCAAAGGGATTTCAGAAACTCCAAAAATTGGCTTCTCCATAATGTACATTTAAGACCACAGTTCACTTTATTGAATTTAGGTGGCATAATAGGTACAACTTGAATTAAGTAGTATCATAACTACAGGAAACACTTCCAAGATTAAAAAAATAAATGAATTTTCAGTGAACAAACTTGAATATTCATGAGAAAGAACGAAACCCAAATAAAAGCATATGTGTGCCAAAAAGTATATAACTACTGATGTGAGGTAAAAAAAATCCTTTTTGAGAGAGAGAAAGAGAGAGAGAGAGAGAGAGAGAGAGGAGAGAGAGAGAGAGAGAGAGAGAGAGAGAGAGAGAGAATATAATAATATAGGTGATTAATGGCTAGAATTGAATGCAGAATATATTTCCTTTTGTACTCTTGGTGTTGTGCCATGTTAATTGCGGGAACCAGTTTCCCAAAGAAATGACATTATCTAACACATGAGGGAGTGCATATTAACATACAAAGAAACAAGATGGGAACTAGGTGGTTGAAATTTACTTACTAACAGTTCTGCAGAATTTGCTACATAGACTGATGGAGAAAATCTAAAGATGGTCAGCTCCATCTGGGAATATCTATGACGGCCTGTTATATACTACTCCGCTTTGAAGGATCTCTTGCTCCTTCAAACATATATCGAGGAATCGGTTCCCCTTAAAGTAATTATTTTAACATGGTTGCTACAGAAGACAGATTGAAGACAGAAAATATGTTGGAACTTATAGGTAGTCATCAAGATCCTATTTGTGAGTTGTGCATTACTGAGGCAAAGTCACATTTCCTTTTATTTTTGAAGTGTGGATATGGATATGATTTTATCAACTTAGGTTTCTATTAGATTGGCAAGTAGCAGGGCTTCCTGGTAGTCCCCTACTTGAAGAACAAACATTTAAAAGAGATAAGACATGAGTAAGATCTATGTGGAATGGCCACTAAATGCTTTTTATGGAATGAATATAATAGACAGATTTTCTCTATTAAAAAAGGAGTAGTCTGGCTTTATTGGGTTCAATTAATTCTTTTTTTTTTAAACTTCATGGCAGAATATGTTCTCACAAGTAATGGGAAGTAAGATTTTCTTCCCATACAAGGACTGTTTTAAGGGGTTGAGATAGTTATTATATAGACTGAGATGTTTAGTTTACTTATATGGGTGATAGAAAACTTAGTAGTACTTTACTTGATTTTCTGGGATGTGTATTAATTATGTGTTCCTTAGAACTCTCTTTTCGTGGGGTAGCTTTTTGTAAAATGACTGTCATTTACTTGCTCTCTACTGGTGCTCTCACTTAGAGGCTTCGTCCACATTCTCCAAAAAGCAAAAATAAAAGAAATAAAAGAAAAACGGTTGGATCCTCTTCGTTTCAATTTTTACCTTTTAAAGCACCTCTTGTAGGATAAATGTGAGCAAATTCAGCTGAAGTTCTAAATCAATATGTGTAGAAAATAGAATATGAGTATGAGCATCAACCAGGCCATTCAACCACCAATCACAAACATAAAATGAGCATTCACCTTAAGGCGATATAAAACATAAAGAACTGATAATAAAAAAAATAAAAAAAGGGGAAATCTTGACAAAGCTGAAAGAATGTTGCATACGCACACTGACTTTTCTAGTATTTAAACATTGATTTTTCTATTTCAATCCTTAGCTTTAAGTTCAAGCATGAAGACAACACATGAAAAAAAATGGGAAACAAAAATGTAAAGAACATACCGAGCCAAATTATCATGAATGACATCAATGTCCCAACTGCTCCAAACAGTATAATTGTCATAAAATTCCGAAAGAATTGCTTCTTCTTCACCTGGAATCTGGTGGAAAACAAAAAATAAATCAGATTCCCAAATATAAGTAAAGGTTACAAAATTATCAAATGTAATCCCTCCTTGTTCAACTACATTCTAAGTCAAATTTTATCAAATGCCGATGTCATAACCATGGTGTCATAAATTCTCATAACTAGCATGAAAATTTTACCTAAAAAAAGCTAAACTAAAGTACTAATAGTACCACCCAAAATAAGGATGCTACTGATCCAAATCCAAATTTCCAATTTCAGAATTAAAAATCTGAAAATTATTTGGAGGCAAAAATCGAAAATTTCAACACGTTTTACCCATGGATTTCATGATGCGACAAACAAAGTTTCAGAAACTTTGTAAAGTTCTTTAACTTTTCTCTGCTTGGTACATAAGCAAATTAATGCATATTACATAAACATCCAAAGACACAAATTTATATAATTTCGGAATCGAAATTTCAGATTTGGACCTACACAAAAACAACACTCCAAAAAAAAATAAAAACATAAAAGTTACCCGGCATTGAAAATGATCGGCGGAAGCAAGTAAATAAAAAAGAGATCCTCGCTGAAGACCAAAATCCTTGAGCTCTTCCCTCCACTGGTCCAAAGTATCAGCACTCCGGTACAAAGCCCCTGCAATCAAAAACCCTAATCAAAACCTCTCAAATCCCAAGCCAAAAAAAAAATTATGAAACCTACAACGGCGAGCGCGGTGATGGATTCATTCATCCACCGGCTCTCTTCAAGGAGATGGCCGATGATGACGCAAGCGCAGATGAGAGCAGTGAAGAGAGTGACCGAGACCACTGACTGGGGATCGGGATCGGATCCCAATTGAAAACCCATGGCGTCCTTTGGGCGGAGTTCTAGGGTTTTGGGGTGGAGTTAATTCGAGGAAATCTTGATGGTCATAGCTTAGGATACTTCGGGTTGAAGGCTGAACTGGAGGGGGCTCTTGGGGAAATAATTTTTGAAATTTGGGTAATTTGTAATTTTGACGCTGGGCTCGCTTTGCACGTGAGTTTATAATGCCGGAGTTGTTGGGCTTGGGAACGGTGTTTATTCGCGATTGGTTCTGGAACGAGAATGGGCCCCTCGCCTCCCAAGAGAGAGGAAACACGTGCTTTTGTTTTTGCTTTTAAGTAATTATGAATATGACAAGGAAAAATTGCCTCTAGGCCCCCAATTTCTATAGGCCCAAGCCCTTTAATTTTTTCGACGTGGACAAAAAAGAGACCAAAGCTTACCAAAAACCCCCAAGTGCCAACTCATCCTAGGACTCAAAAAAAAAAAATTACTCTGGTATCCCTTTCAGTAAATAATATTAGATAACCGGTGCCAAGTTATATTGATCTCTCTTCTCTCCCCTTTTCTTTTAAGCTTAACCACCAACACCCCAAAATCTCTAAATACTTTCTGGAGGGGTTTTGTAGATTTTTTTTGTCATTTCTAAAAATTTTAGGGTATTTTTTATATTTTTTTACCTGGTTATTTGCAATTTCCAAAGCTTTTTTTATGTTTTTACAATTTCTACGGGGTTATTTGCAATTTTAAAAACTTTTTGGAAGTTTTCTTTAATTTTTGGGTGGTCATTAATAAATTTTGAAATTTCCTAGTGGTTTTCTTTAATTTTTGGAGTCATTTGCAGTTTTTAAAAATTTCTAGAATGTAATTTTTGGGGTTATTTGTAATTTTTTAAACTCTTTTGAGAGCTTTTACAGCTTTTTTGGGTTATTTGCAATTCCTAAAACTTTTTGGAGGGTTTCCGTATTTTTTTTTTTTTTTTGAGATTATTTACAATTGCTATAACCTTCAAGGGTATAAACTTTTTCCGTATTTTTTTTTTTTTTTTGAGATTATTTACAATTGCTATAACCTTCAAGGGTATAAACTTTATAGTACGTCAATTATTAAACTTTATGAGATAGTTATTAAACTTATTAGTCAGTTATTAAACATTTTGGAAGTTTTCTATAACTTTGAGTGGTCAATAATAAATTTTGAAACATCCTAGGGGTTTTCTATAATTTTTGGAGTCATTTGCCATTTCTGAAACTTTTTAGGATGTAATTTTTGGGGTTATTTGCAATTTTTTGGGAGTTTTTACAACTTTCCTGGGTTACATACAATTTCTGAAACTTTGTAGAGGGGTTTTTGCATTTTTTTGGAATTATTTACACTTTCTGTAACTTTCAAGGGGTGAACTTATTAGTCAGTTATTAAACTCATGAGATAGTTGTTAAACTTATTAGCCAGACATTAAACTTATGAGTTAGATGTTAGACTGTTGATTTCAAAGTTATGAGTTAGTTTTTAAATTTATGATATATAGTTGTTAAACTTGTGAGTTAGCTATTAAACTCAAAAAAAAAAAGTTTCTAAATTTATTAGTTAGTTGTTAGGCTTGTTAAACTTCTAGGTTAGTATCTCATAAGTTTAAAAACTAACTAATAAGTTTAACAACTACATCATACAAATGACTTTACAAAGGAAAATGCCATTTGGTACCCGAGATGGGCGCGCAGCCCATCTCGCCTGCCACTACCCTGTTGCATCTTGCGTGCCAAATAGCAAGGTTGCTTTACAAATTAACTCTTAACTTTAATAACTAATAACTAATAAGGTTGATAACTAACTTATAAGTAACTAGATAACTTAGAAAATCATTGCCTACTTTCTTACATAAAATTCATATCGTCACAGAGATCAATAATGTAAATCACATTATAGAAGAACCGATATCAAGATGAAAATTTTGAATATCAAACTAAATCAACTTGCAATTGCTTCCAGAATATATATGAGAAAAATGAATATTTGACAATGTAGCCTCTCATTAGACTCAACTAAATGCTTCTATTTACCAATAAAATTTACATGAATTAAAAACTTAACCAGCAGCAATTGAACCCAATAAAAAAGAAATTCTAGTTCCCAGATAATTTCAAAAAATTCCAAAAATAAAAAAGTTCGCAAAAATCTCAAACAATTGGAATGGTCGAGGACCAAGTAACCCAATTTGTCCCTTTTACCAACTTCTTAATCTGCATCGATTCGTCTTTTCTCAAACCCAAAAATTTAGTTTTATATTTTCAATCATTAAGGCTGAATAACAAATCTTAATTGAGAAGTTAGTGTCAAATATCATAGTGGAAGAGGATGAGAATCCAAGAGAGTTGATTGGATTTGAGAGGAAGAGGATGAGAATCCAAGAGAGTTGATTGGATTTGAGAGAGAGAGAGAGAGAGAGAGAGAGTATAGAAAGGAGGAGGGGGCACTTTGGTGTTTTCATTGAAATACGACATAAAAATTGTATATTGAATTATTTTGGGGTTTTTGTGGCAACTATTACCTACTTGGGTTTTGAAGGAAGTGGAAATTTTTTTAAATAACAATCCAATTTTTCTTTTTCCCAGAAAGCTATACACCTTGTATGCAATGACAAGTCTTGGGATTTTGTTCCAATGATATCCTTACATAATTTATTATTACTGTATTTAAATTCTATATTAATTATTTTATAAATTTTTTATTTTAGTTATGTCCTGCATTTTGTTCTTGATACGGGTGTATCTAGTGGATCGAGGAATAGCCTAGGGGGGGGGAATAGCCTATGACAAATTTATAAATTTTTAATTTAGCCAAACAACCACGCAGATATATTAAATCACAAACGCAAGCAGTTATAATATGCAGAAAGTAATGTAGAATCTAAAAGCACACACAGATGTACTCAGGTTTGACCCCCACGCCTACGTCCTGCAACAAGAATCACTAGCAAAATAGTTTCACAACCCATTTACATCCAGTAAGATTGACTACCCACCGCAATCGTCCTCCCCGACACGATTCGATGGTTACCGCCACTATGTAAACTGAATCTACTAACAATTCACACGAACTACAACCTCGTAGTCCGCAACCCAAGCTAAAACAGACCTAGAATTCAAAATAAGTGAAAAAGACAACACAGATCGACAACGAATAAAATAAAAAAACAAAGTTTTAGAGATGCTCAATGTTGTCTTTGTCGCATCGATCTGGAATTTTATGAAGTATAACTTTCTGTAAAGCTGGTATTGCTGCATCTGTCTCTGGGTCTACTTCACATAGCTTTTGACGGATCGCAAAACGAAAATTTCTGCTAATTTCTAAGAATTTTTGATCGAAGCCTGAGCAAGGAGGAGGATCTGCGTATTCTACTGAATTCTGCGCAAGGATGTCGCATCTATCTGGAATTTTCTAAAGTAATACTCACTGTAAAACTGGTATTGACGCGTCCGGCTCTGAGTCTACTTCTTACAGCTTCTGACGGATTACAAAATGGAGATTTCTGCAAATTTCTACGAATTTTTGAACAAAGCCTGCGCAAGGAGGAGGATCTGCGTATTCGCTGTATTCTGCGCAAGGATTTCACGTCGATCTGGAATTTTCTAAAGTATTACTTGTTAGATCTAAATCAAAAAAAACTTGAGATCTAAAACCATATAGCCATGATTAATTCAAAGAGATTAACAAATAATCAAAAGAGCGGAAGCTTATACCTGAATCCATGGATGAAATCTTGATTTGGGTTTTTTGATGATCTTCTAACCTTAGGGTTTTCTCCTTAGCCGAATTTCTCTCTTAGATGAGGGTGAAGAGAATTAGAGAATGTAACCCTAGGTTAGGGACCATAACCCCTTATTTATAGATGTTGTACTTTTGTAATTTAGCCCCTCAATAAATCACAATTACAACCTGGTATCTGCACATATAACCCCATGACTTATTTAAATACCAAATTAACCCAACTTAATTGATTACTTTAGTGGGTTATCCTGAAAGATAACAATACACATTGATTAATCATATGTGCCCACAATTAGATTTATTAGATTAAATCCAAAAATCTCCCACTTGGACACCATATGATTCCTTAAATTGTGTATAACCTTATGAGCTCAAAAATTGCTATCACTGAAAAGGTATTTCCGAACAATCTCGTCTATTGACTATATCAATATAGGATCAAAGCGGCCTTCGTCACATTTATCGTGACTCGACCCATCAATGGTCACATATACCAATACAATCAAATGACATAGATCAATCATGGATGTGCAGCATGAAAATTACATGCAATGTGATCAGTACATGTCTATTTTCAACTGGTCCTCCTTAGTGAGGTCAAAACCAAACATAATGTAACAGAGTGTCTTAACTGAATACTTTATTCTGATCAGACAATACAACCAAACATAAAGCACCACAAATACAAACTCCCACTAAAACATAATATCCTCAAATAATACCACACCCATATGAGCAGTATGCTCATGAAAGACCTTAGGTGGCAATCCCTTAGTAAGAGGATCAGCTATCATGGAGTTTGTCCCAATGTGCTCTATGGATATCTGTCCACTCTGTACCCTTTCTTTCACAACCAGGAACTTAATGTCAATATGTTTTGACTTAGTTGAGCTCCTGTTGTTATTGGAATACATTACTGCAGATTTATTGTCACAATATATCCTTAGTGGTCTTTCAACATTTTCCAAAATGCGCAGTCCCGTGACAAAATTTCGCAGCCATATTCCCTGATTGGATGCCTCATAGCAAGCTACAAATTCTGCTGCCATAGTGGAGGAAGCTACTAGTGTTTGTTTGACACTTTTCCATGATATAGCTCCTCCTGCTAACATATAAATGTAGCCTGATGTAGACTTCCTGCTATCTTGGCATCCAGCAAAATCAGAGTCCGAATACCCAATGACCTCTAATTTCTCTGATTTTCTGTATGTGAGCATGTAATCTTTTGTTTTCTGAAGATACCTCATAACCCTTTTGACTGCTATCCAATGATCCATACCAGGGTTGCTTAAGTATCTGCCTAACATCCCAACAATGTACGCAATATCCGGACGCGTACATACCTGAGCATACATTAGACTTCCTACAGCCGAAGCATAAGGAATCTTCTGCATTTCCTGAATTTCAAGGTTAC